AGTTATTAGAGTTGGCGCGAAATAAATATCACATGACAGATGCATGTTGCAGTAGTTTGTGTGTCGTTTATAGTGATTTATAAGATATTAGGCAGATATTTGTATTATATTATGTTGTAAACTTTGTTCTCTGTGATTGATTTTAATGAAAACCATTGAAAAATTGCGGTACGGATGTAACAGTAACAATTAAAGGAAATAATTCAAGACAGATATTGGGGTCTATTCTGTAACAATTCCTTTATACTTAAGCCTTTAAAAATATTTTCTTCTTTACTTTTGTCATTATTTAAACGGATTTTTAAAATACATTAGGGGACTATCTTAAAGAAATCTGTTTAAATAATAACAGATGTAAATTAACGAATACAAATATACTTTTAAAGGCCGCCAATATTTTTAAAGGCCGTTAAATATAAAGGAATTGTTACAGAATATACCCCTTTATGATTTTTCGCTTTCCTCGATAGTAAGAGTTTAGTCAAAAGTGAGGAGTGGTCCACGGGCTGCTCCAGTGGAGGCCTAGGGAAGCATGCCGTTTCCTAGATTAAAATTCTTAAAATCCTTAAGTCTTTTATTATAAAAACAAATATGCTAAATAGGCAATTATATCCTTCTTTCCAAGAAAATTCGACATGGATCTGCCCTTGCAGTGGCTTGTGACCCTGCAGATACATTTTCATATGTATTCCAATTAAAAGTGGGACATCAAATCAGAACTTCACATAATGCGAAGTTGTGAATGAACCAATGTGATTCACACTGGTTCATTTACAACTTGGGACTTCTAAACTGGAGACTCTACCCTTTGAAGACTAAACATTTTGCAATATAAGCAAAAGTGAAATTGTAAATGTCGCCAAAAAAAGAAAAATAAAATATCGACTTGTATTTAATGAATTAATTAAAAAAACTGTCAGCGACTATGTCCAGGAAAAATGCAGTGACATTTTATTTTAATTTTGTATATGCACCCACCATATGTTATGTAGTAGTTATTTGTATTTGGTACATTTTTTTATGTTTTGCATTATATTATATGAATTATATAAATTTCCGGCATACCCAGATGCGAAATTGTTACCAGGATCTCCAGTTTCGAATTGCGAAGATACACTTTTCATTATCCTGGTTATAAAAACTATTCTTTAGAAGTCGAATTTGTATAACCAAAATAAATAATTAAAAAAGAAAAAGGATGAAAACTGTTCAAATAAATATTTCCTTTATGTATGTATTTGCATTAGTGATGGGAGTACTTGAGTATAGGAATCGGATAATACCCGATTCCTAAAGGAATCGGTAGTATTCGAATACTGACGACCCGCGTCGGAATCGGAATCGATTCCGATTTTTAAATATTAGACGATACTGCTGCGAATCGCGATCCGTCTTGTATCGCTGCTCACCGCTGACGTGCTGACTGAAACGGAATTAAAATATGGGTAGCTATTCTTGAATTCGAGGGAATAGAAAACCGGTTTTGTCTCTTTATCTGCAACGCGCAAAATTTGTATTTTTGTCTCATTCTTCCCTCAAAATTTCTACTCCCTGAGATTGAAGAATAGATACCCTTAGGGTCGGGTCGGGTTCGAGGTTCGAGACGCTGGAATCGCTGATAAATGAATCGGTGTCGGTGATCGTCGTTATACTCGGTTGATGTAAGTACTCAGTACTCGGTATTCAATAAAATACCCGATTCCGTGAAGTACTCGAACCCTCAGTACTCGATTCTCGAAAGTATCCGATTCTTTCCATCACTAATTTGCATGTATAATAATAATAATAATACTCTCCCTAATTCACCCCCTTACGAGTGAATTTCAACCCCTGAAGTCGACTGAACGACTTGTGTAGGGGAAGGGATGGCTATTATTATTATTATTTGCCGTGGCGCTCCGGGGCGACTTAAGGATGATTGATGGTGCCATTTGACTTACAGGTGAGGAAAACCCGGTAAACCTCACCCACCATCATGGGTATGTTCCTTTATAATTCTTTTCTTAACTATTCCATAATAATAACCATAGATATTTGATGTAATTTCTAAAATATTATCCTTTTATTCAACAAATTTCGGTAAGTAGCATATATTTTCCTCACACTTTGTCAGTATTTTTAAATTCGCGCCTATACAAACTCTACGCGTGAGGTCATGCGCGTGGCCGTCCTATTTTTCTCTAGACGTATTGGCCATGTGGTAAAAATTACAATGACAAGTTTTATACTTTTTGTGTTTTACCTTTGAGTCATTATAATATGAATACAAAAGTAGTTGTCTTTGTAATTTTTCTTATGATTATTTACTTTAAAACTATTTTGTGAATTAAAATACCTACTCTCTAGTTATTGATGGTTAGCGATACCTATATATTATAGAAAACTCAACAAAAAGCAAACAAATAATCACTTTTATATTTACGTGCATATATGGCTAGCATAAACAAAGGATAAATCGATAAACCTGTAACTGAACCTGGCGTGGAACGAATCCAACAACAAAAATCAATCAAGTTTAAAAATCCCCAAAATATCATTTTAAATAAAGAAATTATAAACAAACGCAGATGCAGATGTAGTAGATGTAAATAAACAAATAATAATGCTCCAGGGGTAAAAATGCATCAAATGTGCATATTCAAATGCAAGCTTATGATATGAATAGTCACTTAAACATAAGTATGAATTCTTTTAATTAGTTTTCAATAATTTCTTTTGGGAGAACATCTCCACTATCTAAATTACTTAAAATTCTGTAAAACAGTGGAATATTATAGACTGCATAGGCATTATGTTTAAATGAAGTAGAACTAAACCTAACTAGCCTCCTTTGCATGAACTTCTGTAGCATGTTCTCTTTTTTATTACTTGGCAAAAATTAAGTAGCAGTAGCATTCCTTCTAATCACAGTTTTATCACTGACTTAAATTCAAAATGCTTTGAACATATTTTAAAATATTCTTTGTGTGATCTTCAAATACTTTTTATCTAACCTAAAACAGATAAAAATGAATAACTATAATTTATAACTACGTGCTGGTTATGAAACACATTTAATTTCATAACTTACACATTAATGAATGATTTTGGTTAGTTTTCAATAATATCTTTTGGGAGATCTTCGCAAGTCAGCACTATCAGAACTGCTTAAAATTCTATTAAACAATGGTTTTAAAAGTTTACTAAAAAAGTAGGCTTCATTATAAATAGTGTTAGCATGCGTATAGGTATTACCTATATTTAAATGAAATAGAAATAAAACTTACCTAGCCTCCTTTGGTGAAATTTTCTGTTCATGAGCTTCTGAAACATGTTCTTTTTTTATTACTTGGCCAAAATAAAGTAGGAGTGGCATTCATTTTAATCACAGTTTTATCACTGACTAAAATTCAAAAATTCAAAACAAGATTTTTCAAAATGCTTGAACGATTTTAAAATATTTCCCTGACATACATTTTCTTTGTATGATCTTCCATTACAATAAGCTTTTTTTCTAACCTAAAAAACAAAAAAAAAAGAATAATTATATAAAACTACATGAAAGGTTTTTAATAGAACCCCAGTATAGATACTGGGCTAGAACAATATTTAATTACCTAATTCATTCATCCAAAAATAATTGTTAAATACGGGTCTGCATTGGTGTTAAAAACTTACTTTCTTCGGAATTATTTAATCGGTTTGGACAGAATAAAACTAAACACGTTTTAACCATTGTTTATAGAAGTCTTTAGGACGTCTTTAGGGATCAAAATAACTTTGCAAAACTCACAAAAACTTTAAAAAACGCACAAAAATTGCTAAAAATAACGACAATCACAAGACAACTAAATGTCAAATGTCACAATATTCTAACTAATGAGCAGACTCAAATGTACCCCTGCATTTGCGCTAACGTAAATGTTTTTCCTTGCCACCCGGGCAGCCATTTTCCTATTTTCCCCTCTTCATATCTATGCATGGAACCAGTCGGCTAAACAACAATAAAAATGAACTTATAAATCAATTTAAATTTGAAAATATTACCAGTAGTAATAATTATGATTTAGCAAGTTGTGAATTTCCAGAAATATTTAGTTTTGGAGCGAGGATGACTAAGAACTTGGTAAATATGCTTGTTTGTGGACAGTAGGCATACTTTTTTACAATTATAATGTAAATGGAAAAAAAAAACCTTTAGGGTTTTTTCTTTGGCCTTCTGCCTTTAACCTTTTTCATATTAACTATTGTATTCTAAATTTAAATTTTAATATATTTTCCACAGTAAATTTTTTTAAATTTTTAACTAATTTGTTAACTTGTTTTCAACTGTACTCAAAGCGAATAATGGTGGTATAATTCATTAGTTCCACACAAGCTAACTTGCCTCTGGAGATCAGATATTATTTTTTAGGGGCTTATTTCATACTCACTATTCCCAACACTGGGTTAGGTCACTCTGTTTTTTATCTTTTAATTGTTTATTTGTTCAAAATTACACTATATATATTTTTAACTTTTGACTTAAAAGATTTTATCTTTACACATATTTATAAATTGTAAGTTTACATCCACAATTTTTGTTGATAAGCACTGATGATGGCACAATGCCGAAAGCGCATTTATTCATTTTTTTTTATTTAGTGCAAATTTACAATGTACTCTAATTACAAAACAAAGAGTATTTAGCAAAGAGTTTGATTTGTGGCTTGTTTTGGTTACCATCCAGTGATGATTCTTCAATACACCTAGTCAGTTAGGTCTTTTGGCCATGTCCTTTTGAGCGTTCTTCCCAATAGCGGCAGATGGTAAAGTAAATTTATAATTATTAATTAAAAAGTTTTGCACGAAATACAAGTCTTTTATTTTGACTCTAAACTACGTGCACACAGCTGTCAACCTTTATTGGTTATTTTAATAAAACATACTTTCTTAAGAAAAATGAATGGAGGCTCCTGACTATCGAAAACGTGATCTGACTCACCTCAAAACAGTATAAAAGAAGTGCGTTGGATCGAAGTTTTCAGTTGTGTTGAAGTGCTTGTGTACTATTCAGTTGTATTAAACATGTCGCTGTTTTCAAAAATTTTTATTTTGATTTCATTATTAATGTTGTTAAATATAATAGAACTTGCAAGTACTGAGCAGAAATATTCATTAGAAACCAGATATATTGAAGTTCCTCTAGATCATTTTGCAACATATACGTCGCCGAAGTTTTTCAAATTAAGATACCTAATAAACTCAAAGTACCATGTTCGAGGAGGACCAGTGTTTGTCTACACCGGCAACAATGGTGACATTTCTATTTTTGCTCAAAACACAGGATTCATGTTTGACATTGCACCCGTTTTCAACGCTCTTCTCGTTTTCATCGAACACAGGTACTATGGACAATCACTGCCCTTCGGAAATGCGTCGTTCTCAACTCCAGAAAATTTGAGGTGAGTATGGAAGAAATATTTCATTCCCTTTTTCTTAATAATTCTGCAATTATTTGAAACCACCACAGCTAAATACTAATTTATACAGGATGATTTATTTATTTATTTACAAAAAAAGAAACAAGACGGGACGAACCCAAAAACAGTTTTTACAATTATTATAAACCTAAATCTAAGCATAAAAATAGTATTATTAACTAGCTATTGCCCGTGGCTTTGCTCGCATGTAGTCGTGTCATTATTATAAAAAAATACATAACTTTCTTTTTTATTAATTTTTATTAGTTTTATTGATTTTCATTCATTTTTATTAATTTTTTTAAATTTATTCATTTTTACTTATTTTTAATTATTTTTATTTACTATTATTTATTTTTATTCACTTTTATTTATTTTTATTAATTTAAAAATTTTTATTAATTTTTATTAATTTTTAATAATTTTTATTAATTTTTATTAATTTTTATTAATTTTTAATAATTTTTATTAACTTTTATTCAATTTTATTCATTTTTATTCATTTTTATTTATTTTTATTCATTTTTGTTCATTTTTATTTATTTTTATTCATTTTTATTCATTTTTATTTATTTTTATTCATTTTTATTCATTTTTATTTATTTTTATTCATTTTTATTCATTTTTATTTATTTTTATTCATTTTTATTCATTTTTATTCATTTTTGTTATTTATTTTTATTAATTTTTATTCATTTTTATTTAATGTTATTTATTTTTATTCATTTTTATTCATTTTTATTCATTTTTATTTATTTTTATTCATTTTTATTAATTTTTATTCATTTTTATTCATTTTTATTCATTTTTATTCATTTTTATTCATTTTTATTCATTTTTATTCATTTTTATTCATTTTTATTCATTTTTATTCATTTTTATTCATTTTTATTCAGTTTTATTTATTTCTATTTATTTTTATTTATTTTTATTCATTTTTATTAATTTTTATCCATTTTTATTCATTTTTATTCATTTTTATTCATTTTTATTCATTTTTATTCATTTTTATTCATTTTTATTCATTTTTATTTATTTTTATTCATTTTTATTAATTTTTATTCATTATTATTCATTTTTATTCATTTTTATTCATTTTTATTCATTTTTATTCATTTTTATTCATTTTTATTCATTTTTATTCATTTTTATTCATTTTTATTCATTTTTATCCATTTTTATTCATTTTTATTAATTTTTATTCATTTTTATTCATTTTTATTCATTTTTATTCATTTTTATTCATTTTTATTCATTTTTATTCATTTTTATTCATTTTTATTCATTTTTATTCATTTTTATTCATTTTTATTCATTTTTATTCATTTTTATTCATTTTTATTCATTTTTATTCATTTTTATTGATTTTTAATTATTTTTATTCATTTTTATTAATTTTTTATTAATTTTTATTAATTTTTTATTAATTTTTATTAATTTTTATTAATTTTTATTAATTTTTATTAATTTTTATTAATTTTTATTAATTTTTATTAATTTTTATTAATTTTTATTAATTTTTATTAATTTTTATTAATTTTTATTAATTTTTATTAATTTTTATTAATTTTTATTAATTTTTATTAATTTTTATTAATTTTTAATAATTTTTATTAATTTTTATTAATTTTTATTAATTTTTATTAATTTTTATTAATTTTTATTAATTTTTATTAATTTTTATTAATTTTTATTAATTTTTATTAATTTTTATTAATTTTTATTAATTTTTATTAATTTTTATTAATTTTTATTAATTTTTATTAATTTTTATTAATTTTTATTAATTTTTATTAATTTTTATTAATTTTTATTAATTTTTATTAATTTTTATTAATTTTTATTAATTTTTATTAATTTTTATTAATTTTTATTAATTTTCATTAATTTTTATTAATTTTTATTAATTTTTATTAATTTTTATTAATTTTTATTAATTTTTATTAATTTTTATTAATTTTTATTAATTTTTATTAATTTTTATTAATTTTTATTAATTTTTATTAATTTTTATTAATTTTTATTAATTTTTATTAATTTTTATTAATTTTTATTAATTTTTATTAATTTTTATTAATTTTTATTAATTTTTATTAATTTTTATTAATTTTTATTAATTTTTATTAATTTTTATTAATTTTTAATAATTTTTATTAATTTTTATTAATTTTTATTAATTTTTATTAATTTTTATTAATTTTTATTAACTTTTATTAATTTTTATTAATTTTTATTAATTTTTATTAATTTTTATTAATTTTTATTAATTTTTATTAATTTTTATTAATTTTTATTAATTTTTATTAATTTTTATTAATTTTTATTAATTTTTATTAATTTTTATTAATTTTTATTAATTTTTATTAATTTTTATTAATTTTTATTAATTTTTATTAATTTTTATTAATTTTTATTAATTTTTATTAATTTTTATTAATTTTTATTAATTTTTATTAATTTTTATTAATTTTTATTAATTTTTATTAATTTTTATTAATTTTTATTAATTTTTATTAATTTTTATTAATTTTTATTAATTTTTATTAATTTTTATTAATTTTTATTAATTTTTATTAATTTTTAATAATTTTTATTAATTTTTATTAATTTTTATTAATTTTTATTAATTTTTATTCATTTTTATTAATTTTTATTCATTTTTATTAATTTTTATTAATTTTTATTAATTTTTATTGATTTTTATTAATTTTTATTAATTTTTATTAATTAATTATCTTGTTTATTTCTGAATTCTTTTCCATTTATTTTTATTTTATTTTTCTTATCTTGCCTTTTATTTTCCCCTTTATTTTGTTTCCTAATTTGTTTTATTTTCTTTCTCGACCTTATTTTTGATTTTTCAATATTAAGTTTACTTTTAACACTATCAACACTTTGTTCAATAACACTTATTTTTCTTTTTAATTTTTATATTTGTGTATAAATAACGCAATAAAATTATATGAAACTTTATTCTCCTTTTTGACAGATCCTATTCTTTCATTTATAAAAAGACAACTAACTTAACAACAACGATAAAACAAAAACATACATAGGTTGTGGGTTTGGTTCCATGCTCTATGTCAAGTACTCTTTAAACGCATTAAATAACTAATAGTCTAGTCATATTCTTACAAAAATATACACAACATTAATTTTATTTCTTGATCTTTCTTCTCTTGAGAGGATTTATTTTCTATATTTTCAAGATTTGATATCCTTTTTCCCTGATCCTCTACCTCCGATACTATCTTTTCCATATCTGCAGATATTTTTTCTTGTACTATTTTAAATTTTTAATTTTGTTCATATTCTATTTCATCAATTCTTCCTATCATTTCTATTCTTAAATTTTTCTTCATTTCTTCAAATTTTACATCTGTTTTCACTTTTACTTCTTTAAATTTCTTCATTAGTTCTTCTTTTCTGTTTTCTTTCATATTATCCAATTTATTATATATTTCCATAAAGTTTTTCTTTGTCTCCATAGATATTATTTCATTGTTTTTCTTCATTTCAATAGAGTTTTTCTTTATCTCCATAGACATTATTTCATAGTGTTTGTTTATTTCCATTATTGCCGCAAATATTCTCCTTAAAACTCCCTCATGTTCCTTTTTATCTCCATCTTCCTTTTGTTGCTGCCCCGATTCTTTCTTTTTCTTCTATGTCTGTATTATCTAAATCTCCTTGTCCTACTTGTTGTAAATTCTCTTCCTCGTCTCCTGCATTGTCTTCTATTGTTCCAAGCTTCTTTCCTCCTCGCAAATCCATATGCTTTTTACACTTTCAAAAAATTTTTTTTAACACTTTTATATAACACTTTTAAACAAACTTTTACTTGTCTATATATTCACACTTTTCTTACCCCAAATAAAAGAATCAACAATTTAAATATAAATAAAAGATATTACCAAGTCAATTTTGTTTCCTTGGTTTTGTACTTCCAAATTTTGTCTGCCTTCCTTTTCTTTTTTTACGCCCCTCCAAGTTTATATAGCCCCACGTTGGGCGCCACGTAATATGGAAACACCCAGTATATGGATTTCCAAAAAATATTCTAAAAAACTATCAAATCTCAAACTGGACGGGTTCAAAATCTAGAAATATTAATTTTGTATAAACAAAAAATAAAAATAATTAAAAATCAGTTAAAATAAAAAAAAATCTTCTATTTCTCTGCCGTGGCGGCTCTGCTCCTGCTCCTGCTCCTGATGGTGGTTCTTATTTTTACATCTAGTCTTCTTTTTTTTATACTCTCCTAGTCTCTTACCTCCTGCTGTTTCTTTTCTCTGCCCTGGCTATATTGTCTTTTTCTTTCTCTTCCATCTCTATCTGTTTCCCTGTCTATTAACGTCTCTGCTTATCTCTGCTTTTAATTTTTCATAAATAAAATTTCGTACCTTGTTTAACTTTTCCTTTATTTTTATTTTCTAATACAATAGTCAACTCCATACAATAACTTAATTTCATATTTAATATTTTCCTTTTATAACTTTTATAAAAATTCCATCTCTGATGACAATCTATCATTCCAAAAATCCAAACAAAAACATCACGAAAAATATTTTTCTAGACTCTAAATCGTCCAGCTTTGCTAACTTCAATTTTGACATATTAATTTTAAATTTCGTTATCTGGGAATTTCCCTTATCAATATATATACTCCCATACAAACTTTCACCCCCCGATTGCCCCCTCAAGATGTAAAAATGTAAAAAGCCTAAAACACATTATTATTAATTTGTACCCAGTAGCTGCAATTCCAATTTTTATGTTTTTAACTTTAAAGAGAACCAAAAACATGGATACTTCCAAATAAATTTTCACTTCCATTCCCCCCCTTAAAATGTGAAAATCCAAAAACCCTGTAAGACGTCATTAATAATTTGAAGTCAGTAGCTGCAATTCCAATTTTCATGTTTCTAACTTTATAGAGAACAAAAAAATCGATAGTCCCACAGAAACTTTCACCCCCCGTT